CAGAGTATGAATGTTGGTACGATTACGATTATGATCTTTTTCCTCTCACCATTGCTCAGTTATTAAGACAGTGGGTCTGACACAAAACTATTTTAACCTGTTCCTTTTCTGACTGAATAACTCAATGGATTTTTCAGTGATTCTCACGAAAAATGGTGTCAAGATGGCTAAACGTTTTATTTGAAAACCTGGAAAAAAAGTAACTCAGTTTAGTGTTTTTTAGATATTAAACATTTTGTGGGGTGGACAATTTTGCTGTTACACGATTTGGACAATTTTGGTGTTACATTCGGTATATATATATATATATATATATATATATATATATATATATATATATATATATATATATATATAGTTTTAGGGTAGATAAATGATACAGCCAGATATAAGCAAGTAAACTTGTTTACTTCCAACAACACAGATCCTGTGCCCGACGCGTTGGGTACCACCCAGCGAAACTATAGTCGTACACCAAAACGTAGATACACGTATATGTAATATATATATATATATATATATATATATATATATATATATATATATATATATTATGTCAGATATTATTATTCAACTCAACGTTTTTGCCATAAATTTGGTATTAAAAAACCGATGTTGATAATATTTTCATAGTGTATTTGTTTTTATATAGGCAATATATACTTTGCGTTTCAATTGATAATGTTCATCTGTCTCTAAAACATTGATAATTAGTGTTGTAATCTAGGGAAGTTTACTGAATAGAATAAATGGTAATTGGTAATGAACGATAATACTTAGGACAAGAACAACTCATATTGATAAGATTCGCCAGCAGCGCGTAAGAGTAGTCAACTGCTAGAAGTGAGTCAAGTGAATTCCACAATGAATCTCCAACTGCAGGATACCTACCAACTGCCCCACGCGGTCACATGTGGCACAATGCCGAATTTAATGTGGGGTATCCAAGCCCGTACGCTCGGCCAAAAAATTCCCCGTAGACCCAGTATAAAACGGGGTCAGGTAGCTGTTTCCCGAGACGAGACTCTGCCCTTCGACATAGTCTCGTCTGGGGATCCTCTCAGCCCGGAGGCAGAGTTTGACCAACACAGCTGGAGACGAATTTCCGAATGCAAATCAACATACAGTATTTACTACTGTATTTATGTGAATGCGGACATACCCATTATCGTCCGTAGGTATGCTACAACAATTAGTTTTCCGTGGACACATTTATCATGTCAACTAAATGCATCATAAATTTTTATTTATATATCAATCTGAATGATGCCAGTGAGCACATATTCCTTTTAATATTTTATATGTACTCACTGACATTATATAGTCTTCGTCAATTTTGAATCCATTATTTTTGCTAGCATTTATACTATTTCGACTTTATCAATTCTTGTTGCAATTTTTATTGCTTCCCAGAAATCTTAGCTGGAATATCATTTTTCTATTCACAATATCCATTTCTCTTAATAATAGACCAGGGGTTTTCTTTCGAGCTAATATCTGGATAGTCTGGGAGGAATTACTTTAATTTGGTTTCCTGGAAATCTTTATGGCAACTCGTCAGCTTTTGCTTTAGTGATTCTTCCTTGTCGTCTGTACTATTCAAAAAAGCATTTTTGTCAAGAATTTCCTGTATTTTCTCTTGATATTAACATAAATTTTGAAAGGATCTATTGTTTTAATGTCTACAATTCTAGACCAAAATATTACTCCATCTTCCCACTGTGCTTCTCGAATTTCTCTCTGTTGACTATTCCCTTGAAAGACACAACCACTAGTTAAGCCATTAACTTCCATCCAATATAGCTGTAGATTAATCATTGCCGATAATCCTTGTTCATGCAGGAGATAGAACACACAGATTATTGCACTTTGATTTCGGGGAGAGGGCTTGGGTAAGCGACATTTTGATCCGAGGCAGACAGAGCACACAGATACTCTGCTTCTCGGCGAAAGTGCAAACCCTACGCAAATAACTCTGTCATTTTTTATGGGTAATATGCTTGTATTTTAATATACGTGGAGAGGTGTCGAGCGGCGTAATATTTACCACTACAGAAAATGGCGTCGACAAACCGAGTTCGAATTAATAACATACCCTTAACGACCTTAGGGAAGATATGAATCTATTTTCCTCTGCGTTCGTCTCGATCACCAACCATTTTGACAAACACTCTTGTCGCTGTCATGCTATAGATAGTTTATGGAGGAAAGAATGCGCGTCTGTGAATAAAGGCAAGACGCAAAAAGTTGTTACCCCTATAGTGAACCTTGACAGGGGTTTACTCATAAGTATGTAAGTATATTGCGCGTGTTTGAATATACATTTAAGTGTTTATGCAAGTTGTTTTTTTTTTTTTCTTTTTAAAGTGTGTATGTATCTGTTTGCTGGAGTCGATACTCGTGATAGCATATAAAAATACCAACATTCCGCATGGCTCCAAAAACGGTTCCATCGAGGTGTATCGATGACCTCTGACAGAAGTGCGTCTTTAAATTTGACTCTGTGTTGTGGCAAAGCTGCCAACACAAACATGCCTGTTCGTTTTAAGTGGCAGGGGAGAGATTTATCTTAGAGTCGAATTACGACGACACACTTCTTTCTTCTTACGACTCCACTTTGTAGTGTTATCTTGAGTTTTCTCCAGTACAAAACCACAAAAAGCCAATGCACTGACACAACCAGTTCACAAACGTTAGAAATTTCATTAATATCTCTCTGTTATTCTCTTTATCCAACTCTGTGCATATTTCCCCTCTCCTCTCTCTCTCTCTCTCTCTCTCTCTCTCTCTCTCTCCATAAATAAATAGATAAAAAGTCAAATATATATAAAATATATCTGTAAAAAAGATATTATGAATGAAGACAAAAGGAAGATTTTTCTTTACCAACGCGTTTTGTCCTCTGAGAGACTTTATTATTTTGAAGATTTTGAAAACTTAATATTTTTCCTCCACTTTTCTTCTGTTTATAAATACAAGTTGCAAAATAAAAAAAATCTTTACATTTACCTTAGTAAAATCGCTCACTGGACGAAATGCGTTGGTAAAGAAAAATCTTCATTTTGTCTTTATTCATCTCCTCCCCACTCCCTTTCTCTTACTCTCACTCTTTCTCTTTATTCATATTTCCCTTTTACAGATATATTCTATCTGAAATTATACACACCCACGTACACACACAGACACATACACACACACACACATATGTGTGTGTGTGTGTGTGAGAGAGAGAGAGAGAGAAATGGGGTGTGTATGTGTTATTCTATGCGTGTATATGTGTTATTATTTCTCTGTCCGCATTTTTCTCTTTATTTAAATGCGACATTCTGAATCATGACATTGACAAAAATGACTCTCACCATGATTACCTGGGTTTTCTATATAATTGTCATCTATCTATCTGTTCAGTTCGATCTATGTATTCATATCTATCTGTTCAGTTCGAGCTATGTGTTCATATCTATCTGTTCAATTCGAGCTATGTGTTCATATCTATTTATCTATCTATCTGTTCAGTTCGACCTGTGCTCATATCTATCTATCTGTTCAGTTCGACCTGTGTTCATATCTATCTGTTCAGTTCGATCTATGTGTTCATATCTATCTATCTGTTCAGTTCGATCTATATGTTCATATCTATCTATCTATCTGTCTATCTATCTATCTATCTATCTATCTGTACAGTTCGATCTATGTGTTCAATTCGATCTATGTATTCATATCTATCTATCTATTCAGTTCGACCTGTGTTCATATCTATCTATCTGTTCAGTTCGATCTGTGTTCATATCTATCTATCTGTTCAGTTCCACCTGTGTTCATATCTCTCTATCTGTTCAGTTCGATCTATGTGTTCATATCTATCTATCTATCTATCTATCTATCTATCTGTACAGTTCGATCTATGTGTTCAATTCGATCTATGTATTCATATCTATCTATCTATTCAGTTCGACCTGTGTTCATATCTGTCTATCTGTTTAGTTCGATCTATGTGTTCATATCTATCTATCTGTTCAGTTCGATCTATGTGTTTATATCTATCTATCTATCTATGTATCTATCTATCTGTACAGTTCGATCTATGTGTTCATATCTATCTATCTGTTCAGTTCCACCTGTGTTCATATCTATCTGTTCAGTCCGATCTATGTGTTTATATCTATCTATCTATTTATCTATCTATCTATCTATCTGTACAGTTCGATCGATGTGTTCATATCTATCTGTACAGTTCGATCGATGTGTTCAACTCGATCTATGTATTCATATCTATCTATCTATTCAGTTCGACCTGTGTTCATATCTGTCTATCTGTTTAGTTCGATCTATGTGTTCATATCTATCTATCTGTTCAGTTCGACTTCGATCTATGTGTTTATATCTATCTATCTATCTATCTATCTGTACAGTTCGATCTATGTGTTCATATCTATCTATCTGTTCAGTTCCACCTGTGTTCATATCTACTTGTTCAGTTCGATCTATGTGTTTATATCTATCTATCTATCTATCTATCTATCTATCTATCTATCTATCTATCTATCTGTACAGTTCGATCTATGTGTTCATATCTATCTGTACAGTTCGATCTATGTGTTCAACTCGATCTATGTATTCATATCTATCTATCTGTTCAGTTCGACCTGTGTTCATATCTATCTATCTGTTCAGTTCGATCTATGTGTTTATATCTATCTATCTATCTATCTATCTATCTATCTATCTATCTATCTATCTATCTATCTGTACAGTTCGATCTATGTGTTCAATAATATGTTGCACTCTTGTATATCAGATATGGAATAAATATATTTGGTACTCTATGTCATTTTTATAGTCCAAGGTATTTGCTGTAACCCATCATTATGGAACACCTTGTATATGAGCGACAAGAAAGTCATATAGAAAATAAGAACGAGAAAAATTATACTTACAATCAGAAGGAGACAGCTGATATATATGGATGAAAATAATGAGAGAAAGGAGCCGAGGAGATTTTAGACTCGCAGAGACTGAAGGCCAGAGAAGAAGGGAAAATTATTTTCGTGAATAGAGGCAGGACAAGAGATAGATAGATAGATAGATAGATAGATAGATAGATAGATAGATAGATAGATATGAACATACATAGATATATATGAATAGAAATAGATGACTAAACTGATATATATGAAGGCACATAATGAGAGAAAAGGGCCAAGGAGATTTTAGACTCAGAGCACAGACTGATCGCCAGAGAAGAAGGGAAACTTATTTGTGTGAATATAGACAGAACAAGGGGAAAATAGATAGATAGATAGATAGATAGATAGATAGATAGATAGATAGATAGATAGATAGATAGATAGATATGAAAAGGTGGGCATAAATAAAGAGACAGAGAGAGAGAAATATGAATAGACATAAAAATAGATAGATAAGTTGAGATAGAGAGAATAAGAGAGAAAGAGAGAGAAATATGAATAGGCATAAAAATAGATAGATAGATAGATAGATAGATAGATAGATAGATAGATAGATAGATATGAAGAGGTTGCGATAGAGAGAAAAAGAGAGAGAGAAATATGAATAGACATAAAATAGATAGATAGATAGATAGATAGATAGATAGATAGATAGATAGATAGATAGATATGAATGAGCGTACATAGATATATATGAATAAAAATTGATAGATGTCTAAATTGATATGAATTTGAGCAACATATTTTTGGGAAATCTTATCCAAAACATGATATTAGGGAAACCGACAAAGACAACCACATTCTATGCTCAATTCACGGACACTCATCTATGTCCAGTATGTTGCAAAAAAAAAAAAGTAAGTCAATAAAATCGTAGACCATGGTGGATGGTTAAGAATCCTTGTAGGATGTTCATTATTTTTCTTTTCCGACTTGATGGCTAAGCTTGCAATGAATCTGTTGCTAATCATTGATAACGCCTGAATTGTCGATGTGTTTTTGTACTACAATGCCTTTACAAGAGCCGATGGCTTTATTTGTATTTGAGAAGAAAGATTCCGGCCTAAATCAAAAGTTCCTGAATCATTAAAAAAAAAAAAAAAAAACAAGATTTGGCAAAAGACAGACGGGAACTCTATCCACAATCAGTGGGAACATAATTACTAATGAGAGATGAGATTATAAATAATATTGACAGGCGTATATATAGTTAAGCATATCCTCAAATAAAATATATGCACATACTATATATATATATATATATATATATATATATATATATATATATATATATATATATATATATGATGCGGTTGATTGTTTTGGCTACTTGATAGACATATCTTTTCCATGACTCTCACTGTTGTAATATGCATATATATATATATATATATATATATATATATATATATATATATATATATATATATATATATATATATATATATATGTATATATATATATATATATATATATATATATATATATATATATATTGATGAAATTATAATACAAAATGGTGAAAAATGTCTTTTGTGACGCTTTTCATCTGTATATATCGTTAACTCATGCGGAGAAAAACTTTGTCCAGTGTTGGATTGCCGATCTCTGATAATAATCACACACAAACGCGCGCGCGCACATACACGCACCCATATATATATATATATATATATATATATATATATATAGATAGATAGATAGATAGATAGATCCGTGGATCTTTTTTCTTTCCATCCATCCATCTATTTCTCCCTCTTTTTTCTCTCCTTCCCTTCTCTCTCTTTCTCCCTTTCTCCCCATATCTAATATGTGATCCATATATATATATATATATATATATATATATATATATATATATATATATATATATATTATAGATCCCCCTTTTTCTCTTTCCATCTCTTTCTGTCTCTCTTATATATATATATATATATATATATATATATATATATATATATATATATATACATTCTTTCTATTTCTTTTTTCTTTTTTTATCATATATTCTTTACTGTATTTCTTTTTATCCGTAATCTATCTCATTGTCTCTGTTTCTGTCTCTTTCTCTTTGACTCTCCCATCCTCTTTCTCATTCTCTCTCTATCTCTTTCTTTCTTTCTTTCTTTCTTTCTTTCTTTCTTTCTTTCTTTCTTTCTCTTTTAGGTATTTTTACGTATCATCCATACCTTCCAGCTCATCTTCTCAGTAATCTCCCACTTTCTGTTTCTGTACCTTTTTTCATATATTTGTCTTTTTTGTTCAGTTTTCTCTACCCCCTCTCTCTCTCTCTCTCTCTCTCTCTCTCTCTCTCTCTCTATCTATCTATCTATCTATCCCGGTCTCATTGCTTATCTCTTCTCTTTGAGAAGAAGAGAAAGAAAAATAAACACCCAATTAATTATTTTCTCCGAATTAAGTTCCTGTGCCACCACAATCCAACAATAATCTAGCGAAGTCAGTCAATGATATCTTCTGGCAGCCTCAACTTCCTATGCCCTCGCCTCCACCCTGAACGCTATCCCCAATCCCTCAAGTATCCTTGCGTACATATGCACCTGAACTACTCCAAAATTTGAAACCTACTTATTACAAACTCATAGAATAATTACCACGCTTGATTGATTAGTCCAGCCTATAATCCTATAAAACACATTTTAGATCAGACAAAATGGCGAACTGCTATCAAAATGGCGGAAATCTATTTCTCTTAAAATTTACAAGATTACTTTTATTACCCTTACTTTCAGTCTCACTTTGGCGCTATGCATCATTAGTCCCACAATAAAGTGTGGTCGTAGGGTTACTGCGCAGCTGAGCACCTGACCAGTTCCCTTCATATTTCTGGGTTGAAAACCAAAGAGCTATTCACATATATGTAGGGTGTCTTGGATAAGTAGTCCTGGCGGAGTCCATCCTTCTCCGGGTTAAACCTTGGCTGATGCCCTTTCTACTTGAAGGCTCCCCTTGTCACTGATACGTGTCCATTGGTTCCACTGGAGGAACACTCTACCCTGGTCGTTTATTTCTGCCACGGATGTCCTCCATCAGGCAAAACCTTGTCAGTCAACGCCGCTTCAGCTGCATACATATCATTGAAGCCCAGTCTACCCCACTATGCTAGATGCCCATTGAAGTTTCATCCGCCCTTTAATAGGTCTTTTTTTTTAATGATACTAAGTGTCTTGTGATCCTCTTTACCAGAAATGCTACTGAACAGGGTGGCTGGACCCCAACAAGATTATTAGAATTGGTGGTCGAACGATTTGCTTTCATGTCATTGTTGACCGTGATCGATTTTAAAAGTCAGGCACTGTGTTGTGCTGGAATTTTTTCTACCCAGAAACTATCTTACATATTCTACCATTCATCCATGCTTTAAAAAATACTGCCACATATGATCTGGTGCTCCGGATATATATTTAGAGATTCTTGATAAAATCCAAAGAAGAATCTGCAATGTTATTGGTCCTGACATGGCATCTCAGTTTCAGCTTTCCCATCACTGTAACGTAACTTCCCTGTGCCATTTCTATAAATACTTTCATGGTAATTATTTCGATGAACTTTTCTATACAGATAGGGACTAGTTAGGATTTCATAGAGACTCTGAAGTATTGTGCTGGCTGTAGTAAGAATGGTAAGTAAGAATGTGTTGTTTTGATACAAGGAATAATGTAGTTTGATTGGGTCAGTGATTTTAGCTAGCTAAGTCTAAAATAAGACCAGTCTTCCCTCAGTTCTATGCTCCTCAAACCTTCAATCTCCCGATCAGAGGCCTCGCTGCCGGATGTAGTCTATCATCCTACCCAGTACGCAGCTTTATTTTTAGTAAGGGGGAAATAATATTTGCATCCTTTTTTCATTGTTATTTATATGTCCTATCTCTTTCAGGATGGAAATGATTATGGCTCCCCACAACTTCACCCCTTTGGTTACGTATTTTTTGACATTTTACTATCCCTCTTTGTAACTGTCCTGCAATCTATTCACTCAAGTTCTTTACCTTACACTCTGTTTCCCTCCCCCTTCTTTTCGTTTTCATTTAATATATCCACTGGGTGTTACATTCTCCAAGTCCTCTTTCCTCGTTATGTGTTCTCAAAAGATCTTTCTGATTCTTTGTAGCTATTGCCTTGTAGTTCCTATTGCCCTTAAAACTTCCTCGTTGATCGTATGCTCTGTCCATGATATTTTAAGCATTCAGTGGTAGAACCCACATCTCCGTCGCTTCTTCATCCGTGTGGAAATTGTCCAGTATCCATATATATGTGCCATATTTTTGATTAGATATGAAAAAGCAGTTCAGTCTCTTTTCTTTATTTCTAGCGATATGTTCCTATGTCTTAATACTTTACTTAGTTTCTGAAAGGCATCTTTCGTGATATATATGTGCCATATTGGACATTAGATATGACAGAGAAGTTCAGCACTCTTCTTTGTTTCTAAAATATGTTCCCACATCTTAATGTTTTATTTAGTTTCTGAAAGGCATCTTTCGTGATATATATTTGCCATATTAGAGATTAGATATAATATAGCAATTCAGCACTCTTTTCCTTGTTTCTAACGATATGTTCTTATGTCTTAATGTTTTACTTAGCTTCTGGAAAGCATCTTTAGTAATATATATGTGCTATATTGAACATTTGATATAACAACAGTTTAGTACTCTTTTCTTTGTTTCTAACGGTATCATCATATGTCTTAATACTTTACTTAGTTTCTGGAAGGCATCTTTCGTGATTCCTATTGATTTTTCAAATAGACAGGCTCCCTCTATTTAAATGGTAATGGTAATATTAGCCGTTTCCTTATAAGGAAACATTCGGCATTCAATGACCGAGCAGCCAGTCCTGCTGTCGGTCGAAATTTATAAAATCTTTCTTAAACATTTTTTTCCAGAAAATAGCTTTCTCAAGTCTGTTATCTGTTATAGCTCTTTTCAGTACTGATGGGGGTTTCCTTCCTATCATTTTGTTTGAAGTTGTGTGGAACGTCAACATATGTCATTATTTTCTCCTCGAGTCACATGTGCTCGCTATTTTAACTGCTACTGCTGCTGTTGCTAGCCCTCAAATGATGTGGCTCCTGTTATTTGGTACAGTTTTTTTTTGTCTGTGTTTGTGTAGCGCCACTTCACAGTGTTCGAAGAAAGATGTCCTTCACCAAGATGCACAGAATTCAATCACTCAAAACCATTTTTAACCATTGATCGGTTGTATACAGCTGACAGAACTGGCGTAATACAATTTTCCTCCCATCACGAAAGTAAGCTTGGTAAATATCACGTTCATATTATTAATAATAGTAGAAATGGTTGTTCTTATTGTTTTTGTTGTTGTTGGTGGTGGTGGTGGTTGTGGCGGTGGTGTTGTTGTTAAAATGGAGGCCAGGAGATTGACGAGCCATTTTCTCTGTTGATTCGAAGCTCCCCGGGCCGGCGCCAATTTTCAGGCCCTTTTCTGGCTACTCATGCATAATGAGTTTACGCAGCGAGAGATACAAATGAAGAAAAAAAATATTTGAACGGACACACAAGCTTTTCCAATTAGAACGCGTCAATTTTTTTTTCTTTATTTTATTCATTATCTATTTCTTTCTTTCTAGTTTTCATTCTCATTCTCTCCTCTCTCTCTCTCTCTCTCTCTCTTTCTCTATCTATCTATCTACCTTCATTTTCTCTCTCTCTCTCTCTCTCTCTCTCTCTCTTTTCAATCTGTTTTCATTTTTTTCACTTTCTCTCGATTTTATTTTCTCTAGTTTAATTTTTTTCACAATTTCATTCTCACTTTATCCCCCTCTCTGTTCCCCTCTCCCCTCTCTCCCCTTCTATCCTCTCTCTCTCTCTCTCTCTCTCTCTCTCTTTCTCGCTATTATCACCTTATCTATCAATCTTTTTCTTTTCACTAACTCGCTGAGTTTTATTTTCATTCTCTCTCTCTCTCTCTCTCTTTCTCTCTATCAATCTGTTTCCATTTTTTTCAATTTCTCTCTATTTTATTTTCTCTATCTATTTTAATTTTTTCACTCTCTCTCTCTCTCCCTCTCTCTCTCTCTTTCTCTCTATTTCTCTTATTTTCTCTATGTATACATATATATATATATATATATATATATATATATATATATTTGTATGTTTCCATTTTTTATCTCTCCATCTATCTATCTGTTTCATTCTCACTTTCCCCCCCTCTCTTTCTCTCTCTCTTTCTCTCTCTCTCTCTCTCTCTATTTCCACTTTATCAATCTTCTTTGTTTTCTCTATCTCGCTGTGTTTTATTTTCATTTTCTCTATCTATCTGTCTGTCTATCTATCTATCTATGTCTGTCACACACATACACACAGAGATACACATACACACAGGGGGACACATGCTGTCTTCTTATATTTATTTACAATTTAATCTCTTTTCTATGCCTTTTTCGCGGCAAATCAGACTCAGGGAATTTTGTCAGAGTGGAGTTGTCTCCCGCAGTTTCATCCGGGTTCCAAATCCATCATTTAGGCACTCCCTCAAGAAAAAGAAAACGGTAAAAGCAAACTACAGAGAAAAAGACAACCATCGTCATCATCTTCCTAGTAAGGAGGAGGAGGAGAATAATAATAATAATAGCAATAAGAAGAAGAAGAAGAAGAGAAGAAGAAGAAGAAGAAGAAGAAGAAGAAGAAGAAGAAGAAGAAGAAGAAGAAGAAGATACATTGAAATTCATGTGGTGAAGTGAAACGTGTCTTAAACAGTTGGATTTCCGATGACTTTTCAGAAAGAAAAAAAAAACACATTCTATCTTCATTAAGCACCTATAGAAAATTATTGATAGAGGAAGAAATGCCAGTTCGGATCGACTAGAGGTGAACGAAAACCAAAAATTCAAAGAACTTCTACAGAAACACTTTACGCTATTTTTTTTTCTTTTTATTTCCTATTTTTATTTTTAAACTGAATAGCGGGAAATTACATTTGTTTTGCTAATGGATATCCCCAACGTGGAGCTGAAAAGACGCGCGTAAAATGATTCTCAAGCAAAAGTGCTTATTTGTAAATATTTCTGAGAACAAAGCAATAACGCTTGTGCGAAAAGAAGGTGAAAACTTAAAAAGATCCAGCTAAAACTCGCCTTGTCCGGTCTAGTCATCTTTTTTTAAGATTTTACAAACTCCCAAGCAAACACACTTTCACGCACACAAACACAGGCACATGCACACAGGCACACGCACACACAAACACATACACACCTATATCTACAAGGTAACTTTTAAAACTTGAAACGTACTTTATCAAATCGTCTGAAAACTTGAGATAATTCTTTACCCAAGGTTGATGCAAGGGAGTCATGCCCCCTCGAATCTATGACCTCCACCCAGAATCTATGACATCTCAATTTTTATAAGGCAGTAGTCATATACGAGCGTCGTTCAAAAAGTTCTAAGCTTCACCCGGAAGAGTTGGAGAAACAAGACAGTTTTTCAGTATTTTTCAATATAGTCCCCCTTGACATTAATGCACTTGATCCAACAATTCTTAATCAATGCAATCCCAGCACGGAAAAGAGGGTATGTCCTCGTTCTCCAAAACCACCCCCCACAACACATGTGATCTTATCATTGTTTCCAAAATGGCAGTTATGCAAGTGGTATTTGAGTTTAGGAAACAGGAAAAAGTCAAATGGAGTCAAATTTCCTCGAGGACAGATGGCACAGTGGTTAAAGGCGTTGGTTAGATCCAGTGACAGGACCCAAAGAGTGTGAGGTTCAATACCCGGTTAAGGCAGTGGAGAACTTGGAGAGGTGAATTAACAGGAAATAACTGATAACTGACATTCATTAAAGAATAAAAAACATGGCACGTGGAACTAGAACAGTCTACCCCAGTGAGCGAAATAAAGTGTTCAGTTCAACATTCCAACCACCTGAAGAAGGCCGGAACGTACAATGGCCGAAACGTTGTAATAGATATGGCAACACAGATGAGGACAATAGACCGAATAATGTAAATAGTGTATATAATACCTCATCTCAGAAATATAGACATATACTGAAAGGCCGAAACGTTGTAATAGATATGGCGACAAAGATGAGGACAATAGACCGAATAATGTAAATAGTGTATATAATACCTCATCTCAGAAATATAGACATATACTGAAAGGCCGAAACGTTGTAATAAATATGGCAACACAGATGAGGACAATAGACCGAATAATGTAAATAGTGTACATAATACCTCATCTGAGAAATATAGGCAGATACTGAAAGGCCGAAACATTATGATAAATATGGCGACAAAGATGAGGACTATAGTCCAAATATTGTAAATATTGTACATAATACCTCAACTCAGAAATATAGATAGATACTGAAAGGCTGAAACATTGTAATAAATATGGCGACAAAGATGAGGACAATAATCCAAATAATGTAAATAGTGGAGCTAAGACTGATGAGTAAAGCGGATGGGGTATCAATTCAAAGCCACATTTGGCTGATTCAGCTACTGCAAACTGAACAGTGTCAACGAGCGTGTTATCCTGGAGCAAGAGCACACCTGCCCGCAGCTTCCTTCTGCGTTTCGACTTGAGCGCCTCTTTCAGTTGTCTTAATTCTTATGTATAGAAGTGTCCATTAATAGTTTTTCCCTTTTCCAGATAATCTATCATGATTACGCCTCCAGAGAGTGGAGAACCAAAGTGTTTCCACTGTTTCCTTTGAGCCTTTGATTCAGGTTCGAAATAGTGAATCCAGTGTCCTGGAAATGTTAACCCATTTCTGCTTCTGCTCTGGTGTCATTATTCTTGGGACCCATTTCATGACAAGATCATCCCCAAGATCTCATTTAAAACAGTATGGACCGAACCAGAACTAATGTATATGAACTTAGCTATATGCTGGACAGTAAGACGTCTGTCATCCAAAATCCAAACCTGTTCATCAGTGGTTGAGGTCTTTGGACGACCTGACTGGGGGGTCATCTTCTGTGCTGTCCCTGACCTGCTTGAATTCCGCAGCCCACTTCTTCATAGTTGCATAGGAAGGGGGAGTCCTCAGCAAGTCTCTGTACCATGTCCAAATGGATTTCTTTGTCCATTTTTAGATTTGTCGCACGCCTCTCACCTTTGTATGGGTTTCACCTACACAGAAATTAAGAAAGAAATCTGAATTTGTTTTTCTAGTTTTATAAGAAGTGGCTGTGTGTTGCGACAACAAAAATGTTCAGCTATGGCACTTCTTTCTGGGTGAGTGAGGGTTAGAACTTTTTGAATGACCCTCGTAAAATACAAATTTTACTGTAACCTAATGATGAACAATGATGGATCATATGCAATATAGATGAACAATTCAACTAGAAAAAATTGAAAATAAATACAATGCATATAAATGCAAATTAGAAGCATGTCATAATAGATTATTTCATCTTAAATCAACAATGTTTCGCGCAATTTTTAACATCAACTTGAGATTTTTCTTGTTAAAAAATTGAAGAATTTAACACGTTCAACATTATGGATAAAAAATAGTGAATTTTATACAGGCTTTATTTTTCAAGAGTTAGCATTAGAAAAAGAAATTCACGGATTTGGGCAAAAAAAAAGAATCCAGGATGATGTCAAAGACAATATTTACTTTGCCCCCCACCCACGAGGGAAAGATGTGGCACAAGGCCAAGTTTTACGTGGGTTTTCCGAGCCCGTAGGCTCGGCCAAAAAATACCCGTAGAAACTGTAAAAACAGAATCGGGTTGGTCAGCCTCCCCGAACGAGACTCTGCCCTTCGGCAGAGCCTTGTCCGGGTTCCTCTCTGTCCGAAAACAGAGACTTCTACCGTCTGGCTGGAATCTGTTCCAGCAAGTCTCAAGGATAATGTCAAAGTCTGCGAAATTGTTTCATCCTTTAATATTTAGTTGTTCTTAGTTTAATCTTTAATATAAATTCAGGCAGAAAAGAACCCAATGTTGATAAGGTAGCGAGGGTCACAAAGCATTGCCCGGTACCACAATTAGGCTTGCTCAAAATTCCCCCCTTACTTTCGGTCGGTGGCTTCGGGTCTAGTACGCACCGGCCCCGCTTTTACATGTAATAGCCGTGTGCAAATGCTAATAGCAAAAAACTGATATGGAATAAACTTTTGGTTGGCAGCGTGGACAAATGGAATTGGAAAGGTGATTTCAAATTCTACCCGAAAGATTTTCTCTTCCCAAAACTCTTGGAAAAGGCATGAACCTATGTCTTCGTAACAACCGCACACAGTAGAATTGCATATAAATAATGGTCCACTTCATTTGACTTGAGGTAATTGGAATGAATTAAGAGAAAGACAATAGGGGGGGTGGATAAATTAAGATTATAAACAATAATAGAGATTATATTCTATTAGTAATTGGAATTAATTACAAGAAAAACTATAAGGAATAAATTAAGACTATGAATAAATGCTGAAATTATTTGTACATGCGTAAATAAAAAGGGATAAAACTAAACCGTAAAAACCGTCATTACTTTAAAAATTAGTTTTTTAAAAAAACCTTCGAAACGTTTTTCCCAAAAACAAAAAAAAACATTTTTCTGCTGTGGTGACTGTGTGTGTGTGTGTGTGTGTGTGTGTGTGTGTGTGTGTGTGTGTGTGTGTGTGTGTGTGTGTGTGTGTGTGTGTGTGTGTGTGCGCGTCCGTAAGCGCGTGCACGCACGTGCATGCGTCTGAGTGTGCGTCCATACATGTGAGTCAGTGTGCGAATGTGCGTGTATATGTGTGTGCATGCGTGTGTGTGTGTGTGTGTGTGTGTGTGTGTGTGTGTGTGCATGCGCGCGTGTGTGTGTGTGCAAGCGTGTGTGTGTGTGCGTGCATGCGTGTGCGTATGTGTGTGTATTTGCGCGCGCGTGCATGTGTGCGTGTGTGTGCCTGTGCGCTTGCGTACGCGTGCGTGCGTGCGTGCGTGCGTGCGTGCGTGCGTACGTGCGTGCGTGCGTTCGCGTTCGCGTGCGTGCGTGCGTGCGTGCGTGCGTGCGTGCGTGCGTGCGTGCGTGCGTAACTGCCAGTTGACGGGGATCCAAACAACCCGCTTCCCGCATCTAAAGAACAAGTATTTCATAGACTGCGCCCTAACCGCCTTCGGTCGCTACGGATGTCGGAAATTAAGGCCAGCACAAATCAGTAGACCCCCTCCTGCTACCCGCTTTTTCCCGATTTTATTCGATAACCATTGACACTGCATTTAAATTTTTGCAAATCCAAAGTTAACCGAAAAGCAAGAAGACGGAAGAAAGTTCCACAAGTGCGAAGTGCGAGCGAAGAAACTGTTATCATAGACCAGGGGTGGCCAAACCGCAACTCGCGATCCACACACAGCTCTTACACAGACATTTAATATAACAGTTAATATAAAAGGTAGATAATAAACATTTCAAGCTTAATAATTATTTACTGGGTATGAATTGGGGTTCCACTTGATTAAAATGTACCTTTAATCTTCCTGTATATATAATAAAAACGAATGTGTAAATTTTGTTCAGGTCTTGCTACTCTCAAACATCTGAACATTATCGTATGTGGCTCTTACATCAAGCGCGTTATATATATATATATATATATATATATATATATATATATACATATACACGACTCCGCGAGAAATTTGGAAACAGCATGTTGTACTACTTCGCATTCGCGCCGGAAGTTCCAATACCAACATTTCTTTTAGAGTGTTTGGGTGTCAGTCTGAGGACTAAGGACAGTGCAGAGGATTCGGAAAGAGTTCGATGAGTCTAATGGTGATTACGAAGGTGTTTGGAGTGATCACTCATGATGGCGAAGTTTTGCCTCCATTCATCTTCCCACAGGGCCTCAAACTCAACACGGAGGCCTACATCAAGTACCTTGTGGAAGTAGTGCTGCTATTGGTCAAGAGGATGGCTTGTGGAAACCCCTATGTCTCACAACAAGACGCTGCACTATGCCAGACAAGCAGGAGAAACCAATTATGGCTGTCAGACAAGTTCTACGACTACATCACCCATGACATTTGGCCACCTAACTCCCCAGACTGTATTGTTGATATTTGATTGTCATTTGTGGGACACAGTTGAGCGAGAGACCAGCAAAATTCCTTGTAATTCCAAAGATGAACTAAAGGCAAGGATTATGGCAACAATCACCAACTTAAACAAGGAGGCCGTCCAGAAGAGTTGGAGGAGATTTCGGGGTCGTCTGGAGGGTGTGGTTAAAGCCAATGGCGATCTTATTGAATAAATTTACTCTTTAGTATTTCAAGATATTTTGGTATAATTTTGGTAAATATATCTGTTAAAATGAGATGTCGGTGTTATTTTCATTTTCGCGTAAATTAGACGAGAATTTATCCATCTCTCTGTGTGTATGTATATATATATATATATATATGTGTGTGTGTGTGCGCGCGCGCGCGTGTGTGTGTGTGTGAAAAGTGTATATAAATATAAATAAATATATATATAATTATTTATATATTATATGCGCGGTACTTATTAGAAAGCGCTCAATATCAGAGATAGAGCTAACATATTTGGTTGGATAGATGTGAGTTTGTGACCCTGGGTGTTTGTCTGACGATCGCTAAAGCGTGAAACCCAGTGTCACAAACTCACATCTATCCAACCAAATATATATATATATATATATGTGTGTGTGTGTGTGTGTGTGTAGCAATCCTTCTTTCATGCACATTTCATTGAATACGACAGACGATGTCCTTCTATTTAGTTTTTATACAGTTTCTCATGCGATCTAATTTTTTTTTCTTTTCAGATGATAAATTATATAAAAGCTGTCCGAATATTTTTTCTTTTTTATCCGAGTGCTTTTGGCTATACATTTAGCCATTTTCAAGAATTCAATATTTTAACTGTTAAATAAGAAATAGGTTATTTTATGTATGTTTTATAAAATGTTTTCATTTTTCAAAACACGATCAAGATATTATGTCCATATTAAGACTTAAAATATTTAATCTTTGAAAATGGCTAAATGTATAGCCGAAAGCGCTCGGATAAAAAGAACATTCGGACAGTTTTATATAATTTATCATCTGAAAAGAAAAAATATTAGATCGCATGAGAAATTGTATAAAAAAACTAAATAGAAGATATATATATATATATATATATATATATATATATATATATATATATATATATATGGTGGAGATCGGTTGGTAGGTTATATATATAGTGGGGATCGGTTGCGTGGGTTTACTTTCATCGCATAACAATTCTTGTGTTATTTAATGCCGAACTTCTTTTTTATTCAGATTATGTTTTAGTTTGTAGTTATTTATTTTTAATTCCCAAATAGGGAAATACGTTTAAGTCTATAAGCATTTAAACGATTCGGAAGTAAATATTAGTAAATATTAGTTTTTATTTTAGTCTGTAAGCATTTATTTATTTAGTCCAAGTATAGCTAAATATTATTAATTTATATTTGAGTCTATAAGCATTTACTTGATTCGCGGGTTGGTAAATATTTGTCGTTTACATTGGAATCTGTTAACATTTACTCGGTAGGTGGCCCATTAAGTGCAGAGGTGATGCAGCCGGTGTATTCCTTGCCTCGCGGGCACAAGGCAAAGAAAAGACACACACACACACACACATATATATATATATATATATATATATATATATATATATATATATATATGTGTGTGTGTGTGTGTGTGTGTGTGTGTGTGTGTGTGTTTCAATATTTTCATTGAAAGTGACAGACAAGCAAAATCTTATAATTTTTTTTCATCAAGTTTTTCTAATTTTCTTACAGTTTTCATTTTAGAAGGATTGAGGGGGGGGCAGAAACTTTGCGTAATGATTGTTGTCCCAAGCGTCTCCAAGTCCTTGTCAGAGAAGAATCATTTTCCACCCTCCAACCTCTCTGTCTCTGTCTCTGTCTCTCTGTCTCTGTCTCTCTCTCTCTGTCTCTCTCTCTCTCTCTCTCTCTCTCTCTCTCTCTCTCTCTCTCTCTCAGGCGGGATATGGCGAGTCTCTCACTGCTCTACCATGGAAAGTGCTCGGACGAACTTTCTTGATCCCGGTAGGTTTAACACTCACAGCTAGGACCACTAGTGCCACTTAAATAGTAACAAACCAACCTCATTCCCTCCCTATTCCATCGTCGAGAAGAAAGTTCCACTCAAACCACTGCCCTATGGAACAGACTCCCAAGAGGATGCTTCCCCGATCACTACAATCTTAACCTGCTCAAGTCTAGGGAGTCAACCGTTATCTTCCCCCTCCTATCCATATAAGCTATGTAACTGTCTACTTCAAGTGGCCTCTGGGCCTTGTACAGGGTGAAGCGCTTTCGGCCAATTCATTAGCCATTTTCAAGTGTTCTGTTGTTTATATTTTCTATGTTCGTGTGATAAGTTGTGCAGAAATAGTCGTAACTTAAGACTGCACGAGAAAAAGCTGCATGACTTTGTGTTTAGGAATCTTCTTAGAAGCAACTGAACTATTGTTAAATAAAAGTTGACGCTTTGCCGACTAAAAATTATTGAGGTTCTTTATATAAAAGAAAATTTAAAGCAAACAGCAATATTACTTTATTTAACAACAATTCAAATGCTTCTAAAAAGTCACCTCGACACAAAGTCACGCTCAGCCTAAGATTACTACTACTACTACTATACAACAACAACAACAATAATAATAATAATAATGATGATGATGAATACAAGGCGAATCTATGATAAAAAGCGACCCCACTCTACTACATCTCAATTTTCATAAGGTAGAACAGCCATCCCTCGATTAATGCGTTTTCGAGTAGTGGGCTAATTTTTTATATACTAAAATTCGATTAGTGCAGACATGATACTCGATTAGTGCGGTAAAGCTAGGTACCTCCACGAGATCGCTAAAAAAGAGTAAAGCATTCTTCACTTTAATCATAGTCATTTAAAATTGATTTTTTTATACATACCGTTGTACAAAATAATCTAATCGAGGGATTCCTGTATTCACATAAGATACAAATTTTATTGCAACCTAATTATGCACAATAATGGATCATATGCAATATAGGTGAACAATTCAACTAGAAAAATTTTAAATAAATACAATCTATTTTAAATAGAAGTCAGAGACATGTCATAAGAGAGCATTCCATCTTAAATAAATCAACAATGTTTTGCGGCAATTTTTAATATATACTTGAGATTTTAACATCCAACCAAAAAATAGTGAGTTTTACATCGTGTTTTTTCAAAACTTATCAAATTCACGGATTTAAATAAATAAAAAAAAACAGAATGACGTCAAAACCCGCGAAAAGGTTTCATCCTTTAATAGCCAGTCGTGTTTAGTTTAATTTGTATCGTATATAAATGTAGGCTGAAAAAAAGCAAATGTTGATAAGATAGCGAGTGTCCCAAAGCACTGCCCGGGCCCCCAATCAGTACTGACCACACCACCACCACCCCCACCCGGTCGTAGTACGCGCCGGGTTTGACTACTACTTGCACTAAATAAATGGATAGAATTTAAATTAATTAAAATCTAATTTCTATAGAGATACAGTTTAAATAAAATCCAAGTCAGCCATCGTCTAACGTGAATCTTTTTTCCGTCTCGCTAATCTAGATTTCGTTCGTGTAAAATAACTTTTTCTTTTTTTTTTCTCGATGACGAATCATTAGCGAAACATGTCAACGGAATTTTGTCTTGCTTCTAAATTTGTCCTTTATTTTTTCCCAGTCCGTTGAATTCTCAACGAAATTTACTCACACGCGTGCGCACACGCATGCACATGAACACATGCAAACACACGCACACTCAAGCACATATATACAAACGCACACACACATACAAACAGTGTAGACACAGAGTTCAGCACCGAATCACAACAGTCTATTTGATATTCAGGCCATGAAGATTGCGTTCAAGCATGAAACAGATTGTCACCATTCAGTGTTAAACTCTGTATCCACACTGTTTATAATTTCATACGCTCTATCTCGAATATTGAGTAAAAAAATATAGCAAACATTAAAACAATATATTTTATTAGAATAAGGATATTAGAAGTTATACTGGGAGCAACCCACCTGGAAAAGGATAGAAAATGAATTCATTAAATATACAAGAATAGAAAGGGGCGTAAGACAAGGGTGTGTCTTCGCTCTGGACTTATTCAGTTTTTATAGTGAACCAATCTTGAGAGAGTTAGGAGTCCTACCAGGATTCATTATTAGCGGCCACAATCTTAACAACATTAGATATTGTTGTGGTAAATGACAGTTGCCCTCCTTAATATTCTGAATGAATTAATCCATGCATGATAAGTAGTCCTGGGTAATTGTCTAGGTTTGAAGAAGATAATACTATTGCAGTGACTTGTGTAGCTGAGTACTACTATCATAACTGACTCTATCAATTTGTGAAATTAGTATATCAAAAAAACAACTAACGTTGAAAAAAAACGGAGCATATACATTGGAAACAAATTTTCAAATCAAACAATTAAAAATGGAGGTCTTGAAAGCAGTAAAGTTGGAATTAAACAGCAAGAACAACAACAGCAGAAAGAACAACGACAATAACAATTCCAGGAAACATTGTTGAGAGAATAAGAACAATAGCAAAAAATACTAGAAATTTTTATGTAGAGTAAAAGTAAAGTAAAAACGTCTAATTTTTTTCTCACAAGACTCAGTAGTAAATGCAATTGGCGAATTTAAATATAACCCTGATGAATGGGCTTACATTTGCAGAACACTACAAACGCTATGAGAAAATCTTTAAAAAAGACTGTTGTTAAAATCCCAGATCAATTCTGTGAACAAGACAAATAAGATAACTGGAAAAAAAATCTTAGTTTTTTACCGAAGCGTTTCGTCTCCCGACTTTTTCAAGGCAAAAATAAAATCGAAATGTTTTTGTTGTTATAGTTACATTACAAGATCCAAATTTAAAAAAGAGACGCTTTTAAATTTAGATTTTGTAATGTAACTATAACAACAAAAACAGTTCGATTTCATTTTTTTACCTTGAAAAAATCGGAAGACGAAACGCGTCGGCAAAAAACTTATGTTTTTTCCGGTCGTTATCTTATACCAAAAAAGACTGTATAAATTGGTCAGACAAGAAAAAAAGTGTGCCTGTTACTAAGAAAGGGTACACAGAAGGCAAAAAATATGTGAATTACATCCTGCCAAAAAATGAAGTGAATTGTCGTCTGATGAATCTATTAGGTTCTTTAGTAAAATTTTCATTGAACGAAGTTCATTGTTCTAGCCTCTTTGGCGATGCTTAAATCTTATTAAAAAAAAGAATATGAAGATTATGCCACTTACATCGTAAACAGAGAATATAAAAAGTTCAAGTTAAGCGGACTAACACCCGACATGTCTAAGTGCTTGATCTACGTACAAGGGTTGACAGCAAATAGGAATGCGGAAATCCGTTCTAGAATTTTGACTAATTTTTAACAGGACTCAAAATTGACGTTGCACGCTCTTGCTGAAGAATGTCAAAGAATAGTGGACTTACGACGCGATACGGCTAGAATTGAGGAAAGTGATGTATCTGATATAAATTCGGTTTGTCATATGGGAAAACAAAATACTTTACAAAACCACATCCATGTTATGGACGCAGTGTACTGCATTTCAAGAGGAACTGCTTTTTTAATAGCAAAAAAATGTTTTGACTATGGAAATGTGGGACACAAGAGTTCGCATTGTAAAGTTAAAAGACAGAATAAAAAGTCAAAATTCAAGAATACTCTAAACGTAGCATCGGCAACTATTTTTCGGTTTCGCAAATTATAATGGTTTTATTCCGAAAAATCATTTTTGCGAGTACCATTAAATAGTTTACCAAAAAAAAGAATCTAAGTGGAATTGGACTGCCGAATGCCAAAAAGCATTACAAAAATTTTGCATAAGCACAAAGATGGTACTGTCAAGGCAATAGCGCATGCGTCAAGAAAACTTTTATCAACCGAGAAGAATTATAGCCAGATAGAGAAAAAGGTTTAAATATAGAAAGATTCGTAAAAATAACCTGAAAGGGCCGACTGATACTCTTTTCCTGTTATCCAGGGTTTGTTGCCAGACAGAGTGGCGAATTAGACTTCGCGTCACAGATATCCGTTTCAATTTCATTCAGATTGTTCGTGTATATATACCTTTGTGAGTTCACATATATATTTTAATTCAATGACAGATCTACAAAATTTCTACGAACTTAAAAAGATGTTTGAAAAATATGAATAATTTCTGAAAAGTTCAATAAAGTCCCATAATTTTCTGATTCTAAACTTTTTAAAAATTAACGTTTATTCTTGTCTCCAACTTTTATTGCTCAGCCCAGGATAGGTGTTGTCCAAACTGAGTAAAAAGAGAATGTGTAAGACTAATGCCTTATTTCAAACTAAGTAAGATTGTGTGAGCGTATATGTGTGTACTTGTGTGTATATTAAATGACACAAGTACATGGAAGTCATTCATGCGCAACACAACTATAATTGCATACGATTGGAGGTTGTTGCCAGACAGAAAGGGAAAATAGAGCTAACGACATAGATGTCCATCTCAATTTCATTCAAATGCTGTGGCCATGCATGTTTGCCTGTGCTCACGTATATTTTAATTCAATGACAGACCTACTATATTTCTACAGAATTAAAAACAATTATGTTAAATAATTTTATTGATTACAGAATAATTTCGGAAAACTTCAATAGAATGTGATTTTTTTCTATCTCACGTAGTCTGGATTTTATACTATTGACTATTTTTCGTCTCCATTTTATTAAGTTGGTCGTGTTTATTTACCTTTTTCCTCACGGCTGGTAAAATATGACGCAAAGTCGGTTTACTAGGGTGCGGGTCGACTCAACACCGCCGACTCAACACTGTCAACTGAGCACCAAGACAACTAAGGACGGAGACAACTCAGGATCGAGACAACTCAGCACCAGAAAAACATAACTTTTTCATAACTGAATGAAAGTAATTTATTAAGGATCAAAAACT